TAGGCAGCAAAGAAAGATCAAAGTGCTGCTGCTGCTGCTGCTGCTGCTGTTGCTGTGCAAGAAGGGCCTGCCTTGCTGCAGCAAGCTCTGCAGCCATTTGTCTCGCTTGAGGCGTAGGGTCATCGGGCTCTAGGGGCCCCCATTGTGCTTCGAATTGTTGAATGATTTGCTGCTGCTGTTGCTGCAATTTGCTTTGGATTTGCTGCTGCTGCGCTGCAGCAGCAGCAGCAGCAAGCAGCGGGGCACTGAAGCCCTGTCTCCCAGATATATATACCTGATGGGCCCCTAAGAGAGCAGCAAAGGCCCCCCAACCGCCTATATATTTATCAAGGAGACAGCGAGAAGGAGCAGCAGCAAATGCAGGTACTAGAGAAAGGAGACACCCCCCTAAAGATAAAGGGGTGTCTCCATACTGCAGCGGGTAAAGAGACCCCTGCAGCTTCTTAGGGATATAGAGGGGCCCCACACTGCCGCAGGGGCCCACTAAGACGCTTGCGAATTGCTGCTGCAGCTGCTGCAGCGCAGGCATATCTAAACAATCATAAGCAGCAGATGTTAATAATATAATATCTATCGGAGGCATATTGTCAAGAGACACCCCGGCCCCACACACTCGCGATGCTGCAGCAAACAAAACACAAAAATATCTAAATAAATAAATAAATAAATAAATATTTTTATAAACATATCAATAAATATATTAGTAAATAAATAAACACATATATTAATAAACATATCAACAAATATATTAACAAACATATCCACACAATCTATTATATATATATATATATATATTATATATATGCATGTATTTATATATAGTATACATATACATTATATATTATATATACACTATAAACAAACAAACGTAGTAAAATTGCATTGACAAACAGATAAACAAATATATAAAGGAAGAGAGATACAAATATATCACAAACATACACACAGATGTATTGACGAATGGGTAGATAAATAAATAAATAAATAAATAAATAAATAAATAAATAAATAAATAAATAAATAAATAAATAAATAATATATATTTAGAGATATATTTGTATATGTCTTTCTTGATATATTTGTTTATGTTTTGTTCTATTAACATAAACAAACGCATAGACAAACACAACTAACGAACCAAACACAACACAGACACACACACTGCTGCTGCTGCTGCTGCTGCTGCTTCTGCTGGTCATGCAAAGCTGCTAATGCTGCTACTTCTGCTGCTGCTGCTCTCGCAACGCTGCTAGTGCTGCTGCTACTGCTGCTGCTGCGTGTATTGGTGCTGCTTACGCCCGATCCTTCCCCATGGCCCTGCTCGTTTAGAGAAGAAAGGGTTTGTAAGGATGCTGAGGGGCCCCCCGAGGCCCCCGGGGGCCCCCCTTGTTTGCAGCAGAAAGGTACCGTGCCCAAGGGCCTGTACCCTAAGGAGGCCCCTGGGTATCTCTGCTGCAGTTGGGGGAGGGGGGCCCTCAGGGAGACACAGCTGCGAAGGCCATATAGCTGGTGGTTTTAAGCCAAGGGGGGCCCCCTGTGGCCCCTTAGGGGCCCCCTTAGGGGCCCCCTTTGTGTCACCTTCAGCGGGGGCCCCCCCAGGGGGCCCCATAGGGGCCCCCAGGGCCCCCCTCAGAACCCTAGAAGAAGGAAACCAGTGCATGCAGCGATATCGTGCAAGAGCTATACCCTCTTGGAAGGTAAGCGAAGGCCAAGGGCCCCTTAAGGGGGCCCCCCCCCCACTGGGGGGCCCCCATGTAGGGTCAAAGTGAACTATGAAGCATTTGAGTAGGGAACGAGGTAGAGACCTCAGAAAGGCCCCCAGCTTTAAACCGTTGAAGGGGCCCCCCATTATATCTGCTGCAGCAAAGACGAAAGGGGGGCCCCCAAAGAAGGATCGGAGAGGGGGGCCCCCAGGTCCCTCGCCTTGAAGAGTAAACAGACAGGGTATAAGATGCAAATCAAAGAAAATAAATACTAACCAAAGAAGCCACACTATATCTATATATGGTTTAGGGTTTAGGGTTTAGGGTTTACTGTTTAGGGTTTAGGGTTTAGGGTTTGTCTCTAACTCCCCGTAGCCCGGAGGGCTGGGGCCCCCGGGCTCGGGGCCCCTCCCTAAGGGGGCCCTTCACTAAGAGAGTAGCTTCTGCTCAGAAACCCTAAACCCTAAACCCTAAACCCTAAACCTTAAACCCTAAACCCTAAAAGGTGCATATTGTTGTGCGGCTGTTGGGGGCCCCCAGCAACCTTCACGTGTCTTGTGCTCGGGGCCCCCCAGAAGAGAACACAAAGAGATGTACTGTAGGGGGGCCCCCTCCACGCGTTTGAGGCCGGGGGGCCCCCCCTTCTTGGCGCCGTTGTTAGTCTCCCTAGACCCCCCTGGGGGCCCCCCAACAGAGACAGAAGAGACAGCTGAAGGGGGGCCCACCATCTTCCCTCGTCTGCAGCAGCAGCTGCTGCAGCAGCAGCGCTCGCTGCGACTCTGGCTGCAAAAGGTCCTTCAAGATCCCCCCGGTAAACCCTAAACCCCAAACCCTAAACCCTAAACCCTAGACAGCAACCCTTTCGGGGGCCCTTTGCATGCATGCGGTGTATAGGCACCTCCCCACATGTTCTGGTGTATCTGCACCTCTGCTGCTCACAGGTAATAGTACAACAGAAACAAACGGCTCCTCAGCAGCAGGAACTCCCTGTAAGCTGTTCGTTTAGGGTTTAGGGTTTAGGGTTTAGTGTGTGCTGTTTAGCGCGTAGGGGTTAGGGCCTAGGGTTTAGGGTTTAGGGTTTAGGGTTTAGGGCTTTGCTGCGCTGCAGTAAATGGACGCCTGCCGAGCTGTCTCCCTGTGTGGGGGCCTCAGGGCCTTGAGTTTGAGGAGCAGGAGACAGACACTGCAGCAGGCGAAGTTATAATGGCGTTGATGGATCAGTGAGTGTCTCCTTTTGCTGTCTCCTTTTGTCTCCTTATTTTCTGTCTCCTTTTGTTTCTTTTTTTGCTGTCTTCTTTTGCTCTCTCTCTCTCTCTTGTGTCTCCTTTCTTCTCTTTCTATCGGTTTGTGTTTTTGTGTCTTTGCGTCTCTCCATCTGTCTCCTTATTTGTCTTCTTTCTGCTGCGTCTCTCTGTCTCTTTCTGTCTCCTTTTGTCTCCTTTAGTCTGCTTCTTCCTGTCTCCTTTTGTCTGTGTTTGTGTCTCTTTGTCTATGTCTTTTTCGTTGTCGCTCTGTATGTCTCTTTGTCTGTCTTACTGTTTGTTTCTGTCTCTTTTATCTTTGTCTCTGTCTCCTTCTGTCTCCTTCTGTCTGGTGTCTGTCTCTTTCTCTCTGTCTCTGTTTCTATCTGTCTATGCCTTTCTTTAGGTCTCCTTCTGTCTCTGCTTGTCTCCTCTTTGTCTCCTTCCTTTTCTGTCTGTCTCTGTCTCCGCTTGTCTCCTCCCGTCTCCTTTTGTTTCTTTTTGTCTCTGTTCGTCTCCGCTTGTTTATACATGTCTCTTCCTTTCTCTGTCTCTTTCTGTCTCCTCCCCCTGCTTCTCTTACTTATCTCTGTCTCTGTTTCTCTCTCTGTCTCTTTCTCTCTGCTTCTCTCTTACCTTGTGTGGTGTACTGTCTCCTTTGTTGCTGTCTCCTCATGTTTATTTGTCTGTCTCCTTGGCGTCTAAGCTGTCTCCTTTTCTCTTTTTCTCTCTCTTCAGTTCTGGGTCTCTGATCTTTGTCTGTCTCCTTGGCGTCTAAGCTGTCTCCTTTTCTCTTTTTCTCTCTCTTCAGTTCTGGGTCTCTGAGCTCTTTGTCTCCTTTGTATATTGCTCTCTCCTGCCGCTTATCTATTTGTCTTTTGTCTGTTGCTTCTTTCTGTCTCCTTTTAAGTGTCTCTTCTTGCTGCTGCTGCTTCTGCACCCTTCCCCCTCTTCTCAGCTGTCTCCTTTCTCTTCTTTGTGTTGCCTTTGACTTGTAGGGGCCTCCAGAGCTGTACCCTGCCAGTGGGGGCCCCCCAGGGGCCCCCCCCTGC